TATATATAAATATAAAAAAAATAGTTATCCTTTTGTCTACTTTTGGAGTGTATAAATGCATGAACCTTAATGAGATTGAGATTGCTCAACCTTGATGGAGCGCTGCGCTCCATTGAGTGCCACTCTACTTACTGCACTTACTGTGAATTAAATTCAATTAGACAAAGGTTATTATTCAGAGTGCTAAAATGTTTAGTCGTTAGTTGTGTTTCAGCATTATGTTGCTAGATATTACAGATTGTTAATTGAAACAAAAAATGAACTTTATAGGTTTGTATATAGTATATTCTTATGGATAAAAGGAAGACACCATGCAGCAATAGCAGGTGAAATCCAAGAGGGTGTTTATTCGCTACTGCGTTTTTAGTGACGCTGCAGTCATTGTAATCGCGACCCATCTCTGCTGAGATTGTGTGTTTGTGTGTGCGGACGTGCGAACTCACAGTGGGCGTCAACGACATCCAGGGGTGCAATGTCCTCGGGGAAGCTGACTGAGAGGAGAGTGCGCGAGGCTGTGAGCAGCAGCAGCAGCAGCAGCTCACTGAGCAAAAGTGTGGCTCTGTGGCCCATGGCTCCTCACATACACTTCCTGTTTCACACTAGTGGAGATGTTACCTGGAGACATGCACAAAAAAAAAAAAAAATCCTCTGTTACTCAAATTTGGAGACATATAGCATGTACACCATCTCCCCTTGGTAAAAAAAAAAAAAAAAAAAAAAAAAAAAAAGAAGAAAAACAGAACTGCATCCTCTCGTCATGGAATACATTTTGCTCTCACCAAAATATCAGTAACCATCCTCTGTATGACAGTGCACCTGACCACAACAACCCTTGTAACAAGCATATTGTTAAATTAATACCTCTAAGTTTCTTTAAGTTAGGCCATTGCCTTGTCTAATAGGGAAAAAAGTGCTTTACGCCACCTTGTGGCATTTTTGGGAACTTACAAACCTTTTTGGGTGGGAAATCACTCCCGGACTTTTGACTATTTATAGAAAGGGTCTGTTGTTAACACTGCATATTTGCATATTTTCTTGTTACTTTACTTTGTTGTTTGTCTATGCATTGACCTTGAGATTGGAAATAAATGTGATTGATTGAGTGCTTTTGCTAAAGCTAGTATTGTATTTTGTGGCTGTGAGCAATACACAAATTGCCTTCTCTTGAGCACTGGTGGGTGGCAGAGCAGGAAATTTCCCCATTCTACCTTCCTCTGCATCTGCTAACTAACAGAAGGTCAGCCAAAAGTTCGGCGTGGTGTCTCAGTGTGTGTTTGGTGAAACGGAAGTCCACTCTGCTAGAAGCACGGCAGGCCCTGCTGACTCTGTACATCTGTGCCCTGATTGGTTTGTCCGGGGCCAAGCTCATCGCTGATCAGCTCATTGCGACTTCATCACCATCACCAGTGCGCCATCTCATCCGCCCTTAGCTGACTTCTATTAGCGCTCTGTTAGCTCTTAGTGCTGCAGTCTCTCCTTGGGGCCAAAGCGCTTTATTGCACTGCAGTGATTCACTCCATCTTAGTGTTATGAGGACAAAGCCACGCTCACTTGTTTTGACATTGGAGTAATTACAGTGGGTGTACTTTCCCCCCCCACCCCCCCACTACATTCTAATGTAGATATACTACACCAGATGGATATAATGTATTGTAGGTAGTATTCAAGTGTACGGAATGTGTTGACGAGAGCTTTAAAGGCAGGCCCTGGCTCTAAATGATTAGTGTACATTTCAAATATTTATAAGGCAAACAAATTATTCATGTGGGCAAAGCCTGAACGGATATAAACAATTTACTCGGAGACGTCACACAGGCAAAGGCATAGATTAGCTGGGAGCATGCTGGGGTCCACACACTGGGAGCACATACATCATCATCCTTTCACATGATCTATCTCAAAGACCGATGCATGTGCACACGCACAAATAGTAATGATTCATTTTTCTATTAGCCCCAAAGCACACCTGCTCCAGTCTGTCAAAGCCAGGCCATTAGTGCTTTGATTGATCCACACAGGAAGCAGGGCAGACCATCTCACTGTTTCACTACAGTCATGTGGAAACCTCTCTATATTTGCCCCCGTTATAATTAAATTCAGGGCCCAAGTAGAAAATCAGTGTAAAAGTAGACCAACAAAGCATCTGCATGCCAGCTTTTTTCCTCGTGTGCGCCCAATTGCCTCGAATACTCCCTGTTGATATTAAGCGACCACATTTTTCCAAGCACTAATAATCCAATTTCAGTTTGGTAACTTATTGTGTGTCACCTGGGAACCATTGAAGTGAGGCTGAAATGGAACGCCCCATAAGTGTGTTTTAGTCATTCACGGTGTGTAATGGTGGCAATTCTGTGCTCGGTGGGACGCTGTGGCCTTCCAAACAGCAAAGTCATTATGAGTAATGCTAGACCTGAAACAGGCTGTGCTTCATCTCCATTAGTCCACTTAACAGTGAAATGGGGAGTTTGATGTTTTTGACAAACTAGGGAGATTGTCTGGGGTCAAATAGCCTGGTGTACAGCTCACAAACACATGATGCCGGAGCATTTCCCTTAAATGTGGACGCCATCAAATCCCCGTGCTGGCTGGCAGATCAATAGAGACGAAACAATTCAATCTAAATGAGAAGTGATGACCGACCTGACCTCGCTTAAAGCAAAGGCCCTGGCATTCCTTAAAAGCATCTAGTGTACTTTTACTACCTCGCAAATGTGCTCACCAACAAATGCGCGCATGCCAAAACCCGAGACAGAATAGATACCGAATGCACAACAAGAGGAAGCAGAGGTACGGCACAAAAAGTAACTAAAGTGAGATATCGAGAATATCAATTCTATGGTGCTATTATAAGCTTTGCATCACAGCTGAGCTTGGGTGTGCTCACAGGTTACAGAAGACAGACTTTCTCCAAGCTTATTGCAAAAAAAATGCCATTAAACTGGAAATTAACGAGAGCTCAGCACCATTATAGCCAGACTGTACTGTAGAGGCAATGGCTTTCATTTAATGTAAAACAGAAACAGAAGACACCCAGAGGTCAGCGATCTAAAATTACTTCCAAATCTCCAGTGAGCCCAGAATGTTTTCTATTGACTATTCCTTTGCGCTCTCTGGTTCCTGCCCTCCAGTTAAGAGTGTGTGGTGTGCATGTACATATAGGCCTCAAACAAGCCCAGAGACGCTGGGCTTGTCACGCAACTCACTGCCATTCAGCTTTGCCTCGCTCTACCTCTGTTATTACAGGCTTTTCAAATGTCCCACAACCACACACTTCCCCGCTGATATTGTTGGCTCAAACTCATGGAGTTTAACATTGGGGCTTGGACCGGGGGGGGGGGGGGG